AGTGGCGAGCAGGCATTTCGGCAGCATAACGGCAACAGCAACAACTGTTGCCGTTTCAGATAAATGGCAGCATTTATCTGAAACGGCAACAGTTTTGTCGTGGCCTGGGCCTGGACCCACCGCCCTCCCCACATTGCCCACTGCCCACACGGTGCCCTTCACTCCGTGGCACCGAAACAGGGCCAAAATGGCCCACCGGGCCTTTTTTTTCTGTTTTTATTTTTTCTGCGCCGCGCCGAAGATCGGACACCCAAAAAAAAAATATGGGCGTGTAGGGCTTTTCCAGCCCTACACGCCCATTTTTTTTTTTTTTTTTTTATACGTAAAAAATGGGAAAAAAAAATAATGTACCGAACTCGGCAGGTCGGCCTAGGCCGAACCGGGCCAATTCGGTCATCGGCCGCGGCCGCGGCCGATTTCGACCCCCCGGCCGCGGCCGGCCGCGGCCGGGCGTGCAACATAGCTCACGATATCAGCTTCTAAAAGGGGATCGTGTAAACTATCTTCAATCCTATCTATCAAGCAAGTGTTAGAAGTTAGTCCCAAGTATAGCTTGCTTTGTCTTTCTATTTTTCAGCTTGTATAAATCTTGACAGCCTCCTGTTCCTACAGGAAGCGCTGCCGAAATTTCTACAAATCTGAAAGAGTTGATCATTTTTGGACTCATAGAAATTCTGGAGATTCATTTTTCCTACGGGAAGCGCTGCCGAAATTTCATAGAATTTGAGGAGTTAGAATATTTTCGGCTAGGAATTACTTGGCAGACCCACCTTGAATAAGGGAGATGCTGTCAAAATTCTCAGTGACTTGGCACTAGTAGAGGAGCTAAGTTACGAATGAGGGAGTATTCCCCTTTTTGGCATGAACCAGATAGTTGTTCTTTTTGGCCTGTACTGTAATGCAGGTCTTCGTATTTCGCTTGAAGGCTTGATCTGATCAGTCTGATCCTTCAAAAGGATCACTCTTTTGTTATCATTGATAGCAGGTCGGTTGCCGATTCGTCGGTTCACGACTCAACTTTCCTGTTCCTTCTGCCTCTCAACCTAAAACCTTGGCCCTTGCTGGGTTTTTATGTTTTCTTGGGCTTTCACCCAGATTCTTTACAAATGGTCATTTCTTAAAGACTGAGTATTTTTATTGAGGAATGGTGGGGAAATGGTTGGGCTTGTGTGCATAAGGCAGGGTGTGAGTTGTTGAGGGTTGAAAAGTTGACCCCTTTAGTATGTGTGATGTTGTTTGAATGATGTGTGAATGGTCGCAGGTATGTGTGGAAGAATCTCGATTGAGTTTTGGTGGATGATTATGTTTTGGATCCAGACGGGCAACCACACAACTGTCGTGAGAGTGAACTACCATGCAACTCTTTGTTTTGACTGTGATTGTTTTTTTTCTCGTTTTGATATTGTGACAAGTAAAGTAGGCATATGTCCGGATGACCCTTATGAGGCTATGCGACCATGTGGTTACACTGATTTTTTCCTCGTTGGTTTAGTTGGTCGGGCATCAGTCCTGAGCCTCGAAGTCGAGGTCCTTGTCCAGGGCGTCCCAAGTCTTAGGATCAGCGCGAGGGAGATCACCCTTCGCACGGGGGCTGATTTACTCACCCGCACGACGCTGTACCTGGGAGACAGAAGTGCCGCAAGGGTTAAGGGGTTGTCTCCCAGCAACTCAGTCCGGTGGGGTGTTCGTGCTTCCTTTTGCTAAAATATCCTTTTTCTTTTTTCCTTGTTTTAATTTATTTTGGTGGAACGATAGAGTTCCGGGCGGAAGGGCTAGCATGTCGTTGGTGATGCGCCAGACAACTCACCACCGCTCCGAATTCCTTCCTGCCCTAGGGACCATCTTACCCCGCACCCTCTAGGACATCTTAGGGTGCTAAAGTCGGTAAGGCCCTCAGGCCGGTTTTTTGCTCGCTAAAGGGTTACCCCCCGTAGCGCGCAATTCAGCCGACGCCTGAGCGTCGAGAGCGACCCCATGGCTCAAGTGAGGCCACTCGGGTATGGGCACCACATAATGCGCCGTCATCACGACTGCTTACGTAGGACTGCATTGCCGATCGGTATGTGTAGGTCCTGCGTTCGCGCGGTTTTATATTAAACCATGCACGCAGCACTTGCCGATTTTCGCGCTTGAAAGTTATGGGTAAAGCGGAAAGGACAAAAGCACGTTATGGCTAGTACACCCGAATTTCGGTAGCGCGAGATGACGTGTGGACGAGGTACCAGTCCTAGTCGGCCTATGAGAATCCGCGTACGAGTCTCCAACGTTTCGAACATCGGGTTACCTATGGGTCTGATTTTGGGCATTATCCACACGCACCTCTTCGTACGGACCTGCCCCTCCCATTTGATAGGCCTATCAGGCTATACAAGTTGGTATATGGGCTAGGCAGAGGAGAAAAGGGGGTGAGCCTCTTTCTCTATCTACGTTCGCTTCCTTTTTTTAGTTTTCATAGTTGGACGTTGTAGTCCGTAGCAGCCGTCAAAGTCAAACCCCTTGACGACAGGCCTGAAGTTGTCTACTCAACCCCTCTCCACAGGGTGCAGAAGAGGGTGTGGTCTTCAGCCGCACTTGGCGGTTGTCTAGCGTCGAGAGGGTAACTCCTCAAAGCGCTTGTCAGCCGACACTTGAGTGTCGAACACGACCCTAGAGATTATCAAGGGTCGTGCGGTTACTACATAGTACCCTACCAGTGCGAGCGCTCGCATGGGCACGCATGGCTGGTCAATATGGGAAGGCCACGTGCCCACCCATCTTTTTATGCTAAATTCAACGAGCGAGGCCTAACTGACTCTCGCTTCGGAAAGTTATGGGTTGGATACTGAAGGGACTAGGAGTGTTGTTGTGTTGTCGTGTTGTTGTGTTATTGTGCCATGTGTTTGCGGATGTGAGTGTTGTGGTGTAACGCGTGGTGTGTGTGATGCGTCCTAGTCGACCGGCGTCAAGTCGCGTTTGGGACCTCAGCCCCTCAGTGCGTCGATTCACGTGCGGGTTCGATTTTTGGGCGTTCGACCGCACGTACCCCCTATGCTACAGCGAACGAGAAACACCCTCGCCTGGACCACCTCTGTAATTGCATACGAAAAGTCTTTGCATGTGGTTCAGTAGCTCGGTGGGGATACGCCCACCTAAGGGATGGTGACAACTCCCGCAGGTGGAGGTAAGCAATGCCTCGCATGACCCTGTCTTGTCGTAGGGGCTCGCGAGAGGTACGGTTGGCGCACTCGGCCGGAGCGGCAAACGTTTTCCGCGACAAGTCCTGCAAAATCCTGTGTGACGAGGCCGGGAGGGTCCCCGTGTGGGACCGATGCGCTCGACAGCGTAATACCGCATGTACCCCCTATGCTACAGCGGAAAGTTGTTATGAGTATGGATATGGGATCCCTGAGTCAGGGTTCTAAGCGGTTGTTCAAGTTATATAGCCATGGAAGTGTGAAATCTGCCCTGCGTAATGTGTTATGAATTAAGGGATATAAGGCGGTAGGCAGATGCGATGAACAACAAGTTATGACCTTAGCAGAAAGGAATACAGAAAGTAGTAGATCTGCATGACGTCTTTACGAAAAAGGGATATCTGATCCAGAGGCAGTTCGAATAACAGTGAATAGGCTAACACTTGGACGATTTTGCTTACATTTGATGGGGCAATAAGTGGTAGTTGATGTTAGACCTTCGCTTGAACCTTTCCAGGTTTGGACTATCCACCTGAATTTGTACAGTTGGAACTAAGGACTTGAGACTATTCTTCTGAGGGCATTTTTCTTGAGTTATGTATTAAGGTCATCCATACATGTCAGATCTTATCTGAGTAAGTATGTTTAGTGCCTATTTATGTGAGGTTTGAGTGCTTAAACCACCAGTACCTACCGGGTCTTAAGGCCCGTGGCTCAGGCTACCGGTAGGCCGGTCGTTCCCGAGCCTCGGACTACCGGTAGTGCAGAAGGAAAAAAGAAAAAGAAAAAAAAAACTCAAAAAAATGAGGACAACAATATGAAAAAGGAAAAAAAAGAAAAAAAAAAAGAAAATTACATTTTTTCCTACGAGAATGAATCTTCCTCCATAAAGAGGAAGATTCATGAGAGAGAGAGAAAGAGAGAGAGAGAGAGAATGAGGCGTCAGT